CTAGATTACAAGCTTGTACCACTACAGTCAAATTTATGCTGGGCAGGATTTTGTGCAGGTGAGGCAAGCACTCTGCCAACTGGCTATATTTCCAGCACCATAAAAAGGTATTTTTAATAGATTAATAAATGCTGGATATATTTTTGACAAAGCTGATTAGACATTTTGTTCCTTTATTTATGGTGAATTTTATTGTCTGGTTTTAATTAAGCAGTCATATTGTCAATTTCTGAGACTTTTGTTGTCCCTTCTTATGGAATCCTGATCTTGTTCCACAGCTAAAATAGTTATGTTAAATCTTTCTGATAAAGAAAAAAGAAGTAGTTTTGAAAATAGTTATTAGAAATTCTGAACTTCTTTTATTTGACTTGCTTTGTCCCTTGGTCATCTTTTGTTAATCTTGGTTTCCAATTTGTGATGCAGACAGGTTTTCCAGAAAGAGGCTAATGATGGGCTGAGTGTGAGGATGGGCAAGGTTTGATGAATGGCAGAACTGGCTTTCCACTATTGATTACAAGGACACAAGGAGCTATTGTTCCATGTTGACAACTCAAATGCTAAAAATCAGAGAGGTTTGTAATAGGTACCGTGTCATGGCGAGAGCTCCCAAATACTTTCAGGGCTGTCTCTGGAAACGTGATAGGAATACATCTCTCAGCCCCTTTAATCCTATGTAACAACTTGAAGAGTAACACGTAAGTTAAAACTGCATGTGTGATTTCCACATAGAAGCCTCACAGCTCCAGTGTGCATCTGGCCAGATTACCTTTTTCCCACCATGGTGAATGTGACATGTGAAGTGATCGACTTCTGTTAGTGTAGGTCCACAAGTGACTATGGTATGTCTTCTGTCATGTCATGGTGGACAGACAGGCATACACTGTGACAGTAAGCCACTGAGTTTGGTGGGGCTTTTGCACAGTGTTTTGTTTGTTTGTCTAGTTAAACAAAACCAAGTACAGTTCTGAGCCATCCACATGAGTGCCCATCTGGGATGCCTTTGTTTTCTCTTTTATACTTTTTTTCAACGTATATTTTCTACTGAATTTTCTGGATTTCATATAATACATCTTAATCATATTTAGACCTCCTCCCCTATCTGCATCCCCCCATAGCCTGCCCATAGAATTTCATGCATTCTGTCATATATGTTAAGGCCTATCAAGTCAAGTTTGTGTACCCAGGTGTCTCTCAGTTTGAGTTCATCCCCTGGAGCCTATTCAGCCTATCTAGCATCATGGCCCTAAAGAAGATCAACTCTCCATCACCCAGCAGTAATCAGCTGCTAATAGTTCCTCAGCTAAGGTTGGGGCTTGCTACCCATTTCTCCAGTTCTATGTTGGGTTTTATCTGATTGAGTTTGCATGGGTCTTCTGCATGTTGTCACCATTGCCATGAGTTCATATGAGTAAGGTATACCAGCCCTAACTCTAACAATCTTTTTGCCACCTCTTCGAAATGGTCCCTGAGTCCTGGGTGGGTAAGGTTTAATACAGGATTCCTATCGAGGGACATACACTCTGCAGTTTCTTATTCTCTACACTCTGGCCAGTTGTATTATATTCATCACCTGCTATTGCATGAGGAAGCTTCACTGATGAGAGCCACTTTATTACTATTTTCTCCACCCCTTGTTCCATTATGTTCCACGAACCTTAGGTATATAAAGGTTCCATTGTAGATGCGTCACTTAGGGTTGGGCCTCTCATGGACACTTATTCTCTGTGTGTGACTAGTTGTGGAACTGTCTGTTGCAAAAGAAGCTTCTTTGACGAGTGGTGACAGTTATACCTGTCTGTAAATATTAGGAACCCTATTCAGCATATGGTAAGAAATTGTGTTTGTCTAGGGATGCGACAGATATAGGGTTTTCTCTAGGATCTATGACTTCTCCAGCCATGTGTATTTGGCTATGTTTACAGTGCCACAAACGAGTTCCATCCTGTTGAGTGGGCTTTAGGTCCAATTAGGTAGCTGTTGATTAACCCTTAGATAGAAGTGCCACCACTGCACCAACAGAGCTTTCTGTGCTGGTCATTGTTGTTGTTATTAGACTTTAAAGCTGGAGTTGGACCATTGATTTATTTTATTTCTTAGCAGCTTGCACAGTATCTTCCAAAACTATGAGAGCTAGTCTTCAGGGAGGAGGCTTCTAGATCAGTTCCAGGCTCATTTCTCCAAGTCCTATATTCAGCAATAGGGCCTTACCCTTCAAGCTCTTGGAGGTAATCAAGAGCTGTGCAATACCTTCGTATACTTTTTAAACATTTCCTTTGCATTCCTTTCTCAGGTGATTTTGGGAAGATGAAGAAACAAGCACATGTTCAATCAGCCATCATCCCTGATGGTCAGAGAGCCTTCACATGTGAATACAGTCTAGCCCGAAGGCAGCAATTGCTGGATTTTTTTGTGCCCTGATCCATCCCAAACCCCAGATAGGACAACTTTAACCCACTATGAAGTCTTCTAAGCAGGCAACTTCCAAGTTCACCAGCACTGGGAATGGCACACTGACTTGGATAAACAGGCTATACATGACCCCTGTATCACTTAGTCACCACCATAAGGTAAAGATAAGGGTTTTCATTAAAAGTTGGTTTGCTCTAAAAATTCTTCCTTATTAAAAAAAAAAAAATTGACCTACAGACAAAACCAACCACTCCTCCAACCACACCACTTTTAAGAAAGCACTAATTTCATTCCACAGATAATTTCCTAGAGAAATCTGTTTTTTTTAATGGGAATTTGAAGAATTATTGAATTCCAGGTGCATGTGATAGTAAACTGTCAAAAATATAGACAAAAATGGTTCAGGGTCAAACTGATTAAAATATGTTTCAGACGCATTTCCATTTAAGCCAGAAACCACAACTGGGAACAAGATCTGCTGTGGAGTCGAGCTGTTTTCTGGAGGAAGCCACTGCAGGGTGGCATCTCCTTTCTGTTTTGTGACTAACAGCTTGGTGCTAGCATGCTCAGCCTGCAGAATGAGGCAGTGTGTGGCGCTGCCTATGTCTTTGATTAGTTAATTTCCTACATTCCAGAGCAAGGTACACTTACAGCCGGGTATGGTCACCATGCTATTTTTAAACCAAACCTTGGCACAAGTTGCAGCATTGAAAGAGCATCTGCTTTCTGTCTTTTCCTGAGCCTCTCCTGGGGTAGAGATCCTGAACAGCAGTGGAAAGCTCAGGGCAGATGTGCAACCAAGCCAGGTACATCCTTAGCAGACCTCTCCTGGCAGAAAGTGGTGGGCTTTGCTACCCTTCCTTTCTATGACCACTTTCTCTGTTCTTGATATAGAAGGTACCTATGAAAGAGAAAGTCCTTGAAATGAAAGTCAGGCCTCTGTACCTAAACCACAGAAACTGGCTGTTGTCCTCTAGTTAGCTCTGACCCAGACTTCAAAGCCTACTCTAGGTGACAGAGGAGTGACCAGGAAGAGAAGGAGTCCCATCACCAAGTCCCAAAGCATCGTGTCTCTTAGGCCAGAAATCCCATAATGTAGAGGCCAGATACCTCAGTGGTCATATGTGAATATAACTCCAAGGAAGGAATTAGTCTAAGAATTCAGAAGATAGGTTCACATTTTAGGCTAGGGAGCAAGACTTCATCTTGGAATAAGTTTTCATTACAGTTCCAGCCATCAAGCAAGAGAAATCTGGTTTGAGGGAAATAATTTGGTTTCATAAAGAAGCCATGGGGAACATCAAAACTTTGCCATTGTCCTAGGACACATGCCATTTTTGTTTCAAGTGACAGTCTGTTAGAGAGAATTTCTTAGGAATGTTGACCTTAAGTTTTTCTTGACTCTAACAAACAATTAATACCAGACTATGAGACTTTTTTCCTATGAAATTGTTTTTACCTTAATTCCCAAGCAGATTTTCTTCTAGATGATTTGGGTTTCTAGTTTTGTGGTTTAACAGAGTTAACTATCTTTGGCAGAAAACCACTGAGCTGGTGGGGTAGAGGTATAAGCCTGATTATGTTCTAGGATTCTTCCCCATGTTATCAAATATATAGAAAAAAATATTGTTTTGTTAAATAAATTATAAGGTGTTCAGAAGGATTTTGTACAGATTTCTATTTTTCTCTATTTACAAAACTTGTTTACTAGAATTCAGTTGATTTTCAACACACAATAGGGTCACATCCTGAAAAAGCCATTGAAAGTCAAAAGTGCATGTACTATACTTAACCTATTGAAGATCATAGTTCAGTATAGACACTGTGTAGACTGTAGCTTGTTCTGATTGTGATCTTGTGGGAACTGTGACTTGCTTTCCCTACCTAGCATCATGGAAGAGGATTAGACTGCAAACTGCAAGTCTGGACAAAGAATAAAATTCAAACTACAGTTTCTATTGAAATTATATTCCTTCCTCAATATCATGCAGCTGAAAAATTGTGTCAGTTGGGGCCCATCTGTGTTACTAACATATTTGTTGCTAAAGGTTGTTTGTAAGTATAATTGAAAATATCTCATTGCTCTAGAAGCCTGTGAGTCTTATCCATACTTTAGTTGACCCCTTGGAATGTGAGGTCAATATACACGGGTCAGATGAAGGCCACTATCTTTATGTCCACCAGGAAAGTGTTAAGAAGAGGCCCTTTGCCAACAGGGAAATCCAGTCCTGTGATATGGAAACTACCCTGTGAGGGAGGCGCCAATCAATACTAGCTTCTCAATCTTGGCATTTCCAGCTAAAGTACCAGATGTGGTTGGCAAACCTATTGTGCCACACTAAGGTATGTTTCTGTTCAGTTTAATTCCATGATTATTTTATTAATATTATTGATTTTATTCTAGTTTTTCACTTTGGCACTTGGTCTAGAACATGTTATATGCAAGCAGTTGATGGCTGTTGTTTGCCCATGGCTTCATTTATGACTCATTTTCATTTATTTTATTCAGAAAACACTCATGGCATGTAAAATGAGAGCCCTGCACCAAGCATGTCACCTACAGGACCACACGAAATAGTTAAACGTCTTACATGAGAAACACTTGGGAATCGTCTTTGCCGTCACACACGTGGACACCTTCGTACAAAGATTGTTCTTGACTAAGAAAAAGAAATACGTTGCAATTGGTTTATGTGTACATTTAGCAACTGATACTGTTCTTAATCACAGTGCAACTAAGTCTTAAGTGTCATCATACAACTGTGAATTTTGCTTTGTAACACCCATTCCCCATACCTAAAGATGGAGCACAAAACTCAGCACATGGCAGGGGCTGGAATGCTACTTACTGAAGAAACACATGATGTGGAGCTATCCACATTCAAAAGAAAAAGACCAAGCCAACCCCTCTATAAGGAATGTTTTGTCTCCTGAAGAACAAAACAGAGAAGGATTCAGAGCCCACTGGGCATCCCAATTGGTTCCCAGTGGGAACTTTGGGCTAGTTGCACACTCGATGTCCATCGGAACCAGTCACTTTCCCAATTCCAAGGGAGCAGGACAGAATAAAGATAACATTAAAATGACAATTTAATACATGAAGGGAAAGCCTCCTACTAGGAAATTTAAACTTATTAAATTCAAGTAACTTAGCTATTTTGGTCCAACCAAAGGCTTGAGCATTTATTATTATTATTATTATTATTATTATTACTATTATTATTATTTTGGTCTTTTTCCCAGCTGGACTGGAACTCACCATTTAGACCAGGCTGGCCTTGAGCTCACAGAGATCCACCTGCCTCACCCTCCTGAGTCCTGGGATTAAAGGCATGTGCCACCATGCCCCATCTACCACAATGCTGATTTGGTACCTTCTACTATGAATATCTAAGGACCTCATCTGTTCAGAGCTATGAGGTGACAGATTGGGGGGTAGCAAACATCCTTTGCTTAGGAAGCCATTTCCCCAGGTATGGCACCGGGGTCTCCTGTCACAGGCTTCTTGCTTATATAATGCTTTGACACTCACTGTGCACATCTGCCCCGGATCCTTCGCTCAGGGGCTTGGGTAAGCAAACCTGGAGGAGTTCAGGCTGGGGTCAGGAACTCAAAAAGGACCTGGCAAAACTCCTGCATTTAATGTTGGTTTATCTCTCTGGTATGGCATTTCTCTTTGATGCTCACCCTAGTGGGTGATAAGACATTCCTCCCGTCCTCATTCCTTCGTGCTGGGTGCAGATGAAAGATCCTTCCTATCTACTCTGACAGGATTAGTGAATCCACTTGGCTGGAGTCACTGAGATGCTACAAGACCTGGGGCCTTCAGAGGATTTCTGTGCTGAGTCTCATATAAATGTGGTTTCACCTTTATCCAGAAGCGCCCTTTTCCTATACTGGCTGTCAGTTAATTTTAAATCCTTTATGGCTGATATGTATGCAGGTCTTGGCAAGATACTCCAATTCGACTGTGACCAGTGTAGTGACAGTTAACTTTGATGTCTTTATATCTGATATTTAAAATGTATACATTCCAAATAAATGTTTCCTGGGGGTATGGGTGTGTAGAGGGCCTTTTGGCAGTATTTCTGTGCCTGTTCCTTCCAGAACATCAAATCCTGATTACTGGTTTGTGTTTAATTACACTACTTGAGATAAGCAGCCAATGATTCACTCACGTGCAAAAAAACATTGCCCAGGTTTCAAGAAATAGAATCCATACTGATAAGGTCCTCTGTTCACAGACTCCAGTGGTGAAGATTTAAAGAAAAACAGCTTTGTGTTTTTAAAAAAGTGAAAGTATGACATTTGGCAGCTGCTCAAAACTGACAAGCTATCCACAGGTAAGTGACACTAATATGTGGCTATCTTCTCTCAAGGTTTGCTGGGATGTTTGAGCCTCAGCAGCCAGAAGGAAACATTAAGCTGGGAGTCTGTGTAAGATAGCCACCCCAAGGAGGCTCTCTGAATGACCTTCTTTCCATGGGAGACCTACTCCCACAGCCACAAAGGCCTATTCTCCTTGGGGGAAGACTACATATCGCACATACAGATGGAGCCCAGTAGACAGAGAGGAAGGTGGGAAAACAGGGAAACTGTGGCTAAAATTGAAGGCCAAAGAGATTAGAATTCAAGAAGAGAGAGAAGGGTGAATTCTTTTGCCCCAAACCTGGGCTGTCTGATGAACGAGCTGCTGTTGCACATGGGAGGATTTCAAAGGATGTGGTGGAATTTTCTTTAGTTTTCTACTGAACTGTCCAGGGGGCAGGGGAGGGCATGGCTGTGCTCCCCTCATCAACTGCAGAATAGCAAAATGTACTTAGTTCTGAATACTGAAGATTAGCACAACTTTCTGCCTCCTCCTCTTCTCCTCCTGCTCTTCCTGTTCCTCTTCCTCCTCCTTCTTCTTCCCATTATTTGTGTGTGTGTGTGTGTGTGTGTGTGTGTGTGTGTGCGTGTGTGTGTGTGTACATACTTGCCATAATGTGCATGTGAAGGTTAAAGGACAAGAGTCAGTTCTCTCTTTTTACCATATGGGATCGAACTCATGTTGCATGGCAAGTGTCTTTCCTTGTTAGGTCATCTCCATGGCCCTAAATAAGGCTCCCGATCCTTGCATTTACAAAAAGAAATCAACACTAAAAAGAAACAGAAGGGCAAGTAGTGGGGAATGGCTGGGGGTGCTGACAACACAGCAGATAGTAGCACGGATATCAGAGTATAAGGGCTCTAGTGGGGGGAGGGAGGCTATGGGAGGGTGCTACCTGGGAAGTGGGTGTATAAATATATAAAAAAAGAAAAAAAATGATTCTTTGAAGCATAAAAATTTGGTCCTTAATAATTAGTAGATGTAAAAAACATTACAACTGAAATCTACCTGATGACTTTATATCCATGCTCAGATGCCAAGGAGCTCAGAAAGTAACCGACTGTGGCTAGTAATAATCAGATATATAGAGATTAGAAACGCATGTGCGAACATCTTAATGTAAATTGCATTACAAAT